TGACGACGAACTTGACTTCGATTCAGATTGATATTATGACTACGGCTGTCGATAACGGTTATGAAGGCCGATGAAGCACCGTACAACGTGAATAAACGGATATGAAGATGAGCTGCGCAGTCAGCCTTTACACATTGACCCGCCTTGAATATCCTTACGCAATATTGAATGTGAACAATGCGCGATAACCGCCTGCGATCAATGATAGCGCAATTATTTGAATCAACGGAGTGGTGAAGCTGCGCAGTAACTACGCAACGATTATATTTCGAATTGGCGTCACGGAGATTATCGGCACCGGTTACGTAACGATGTACGACGATGACCGGCCGGATATATGGTGAAATGAAGTGCTCGGTAACCGCTGGCCGGGCTACGCTTCAACGTGAACATAGTACGCAGTAACTTACTGCACTATTTGAACAACGGATCGCCTCAGACGCAATTGCTTACTGGCGTGTTGAAAGGCGATACGCGATAACTGACTCGACAAGGTGATGGCTGCGCGATAACGGGCGATGATTTGATGCTTTAGTATGGTGCGACTTTCTTTGTGGCGATAACGGTGACGATGTTAGTTAACGCGCGCATCGTATGTTGTGAAGTGGGTGGTATTTCGAATTAACGTTAGCGTGAACCGGCTGGATCGACTATTGCCCGGTATTCTGTAGTGCCTGCACGCCTGGCTGATACCAATTGATGAATTATTATTTACGGCGTGAACAACGGTTATCAGGTGACCAAATACGCAGTAACTACGTGATGAACGGTCGCTCGGGTGTACGCATTTACACTGACGACCGGCGGTATGGAATGATGGAAATGCGCAATCAGCGCAACAGTTACGCGGCGGATATTGAACGGTCAGCACGCGATACCCGCAGTGGTACGTATATTTCAGCGGTAAATGCACCGGTACGGCAATGATGGCGGATCAACAAGATCCAGTAGGCGCAATTGCTTGCTGTGGAAGCGACCGAGATCGATGGCTGCGCGACTTTACGCGACGGTCGCTGACGGATCGGCGGTGATGAGTGGCACGCTTTGCGGCGATCATGACGGCATGAACAATGCCGACGACGAACGAGACTCATCGAGATTGATCGAGCGCGATAACGCTGACACGGTTACATGACGAATCGACCGGTCGTGTGCGCGGTAGCGCGATCGTAACGATTTTCGACCGGTACGCAACGATGACGATTCGCTCCAGACCGATGAAGTAACGACGACAGACCGGCGAGATCTCCAGATGATGAAATTGCGCGATATACGCGACGACGACAACTGGTGGTGAGTACGCGATAACACACAACCGATTATGGCCGGATCAGCCGGGCCGGTATGGCTGATAACCCCTTTACGGCAGTCATATTTGTGAATGACAATGCACGTACTTCCTTACTGACTGTCGATGGCCGGATATCAGATTGAAACCAGTAACATACCCGCAACGATCGGCTGAAGATGAATATTAATGCGCAGTAGCATACGCAACGTTATGACTGTCGAAGATGACGAATGCGCGGTAACCTTGCGGCAATGACCGGCGCTCAAGGCCGATGGCGCAGGCTGGCTGTGGAAGCGGCGGGTTACGCTTCAAAGGCCGACAAATACGCGATGTACCTACGCAACGGCTCAGACCGGCTTTGATTAACAGGTAATGCGCAGTAACGGCACGATGGAGCAACGGTTATGGAGTGACTGCAACAATGAATGGCTGAATATGAAGATGAATAAAGCTGCTGATATCCTTTACGGCTGTGTTCAACGGTTATGGCGGTAAACGATAACCGCTGCGATAGATAACGATTACATATTAATACGCAATGTACGGCGCAATATTGGCGGTCGCTCAGGCCAGTGAAGCTCGCAATTCCTTACGCAACGATGGCAACGGTGCAATGCCACCTGGCTGGCTGTTAACGGGCTATAGATGAAATACGCAACACGCAACGGTATGGCTGGGTGCTCAGACCGGTAGGCTACCTGATAACACTTCCACGCAACAATTATGGCGGGTAACCGGGTGAATAATGCGCAATGCCCCTTACGCAACAGTTAACGGTCATCAGGTGGTAGGCGCAATGCTTCACAACAGGCAACGAATTGACGAAACACCAATGCTTTACGGCTGTGATGACTGGATGAGCCGACAAACGACATGCTACGGCTGGCGTTGATACGCAATGGCTCGACGGCGAATGCTCAGGTGATAACGCGCGATTATGACCGAATATGGTGGTAGTACGCAATGCTACAACAATGATGACACGAATCAGACTGCACCGAGCAACGATCGCCAACGAACCGAAGATGAAATAGTACTCAACCTTTTGTCGATGCCGAATGGGTATTACGCAGTGTACACAATGACGGCTGTAAAGATGGTATAGTACGCAATTGCCCTTCCACGCAACGGTGTTTATGTATGAATCGGTAGGCTGTTTTTGACATTGATGGCTGTTCAGGCCGGTAATGCGCAATGCTTCTTACGCAACGGTAACGGTTCTCGAAAGGCCGGTCAGGCTGATATACGCGATTATGGCACGGGTAAGATGACAAACGCAGTAATACGGCAATGAACAAGGTGACCAGGCGCGATGATGCGGATAACCAGATGACGTGATAACGGTAACGAACGGTGATAACGGAACAACAGGTGGTAGTACGCAGTGTTCAACAGGTGAATATGCCAATGATGACTTCAGCGCAGACGGTACGATAACCCTTACGGCTGTTGACGGATAACCGAATTGATAAATCGCGACCATTACGGCTGATGACGGCGATAACCAGATGCGATGGGCGCGGTTTTCTTCCACGTTTGTGATGACGGGTCGCTCAGATGATGAATGCGCGATGCTTATACGTATTGACGGTTGGTGATGGTAACGGTGGCGGTTAAAGGTGGTATTGCACCGATGTACAACGATCGTAACGGATAAACAGATTGATGGCGCGGCAATGATGGATATGGTGAAACACCGGTAACATATGAATACGTCTTCACGCAACGATGAATAACAGACGGTGTTGCCCGCACTGACAACGATGGCCGGTTATGGCTGATAACTACGCAATGATGGCTGGTTATCAGATGACCCGGTGCCGGTACGGTCGCTCAATGGCGATGATGCGTCGCTTGTCGGGTGACGTATCAGATCAGCGACAACTGTACGACGATGATGGCGGATATGGTCGACCGAAACGATGACGATGATAACGGTTATGAATTGATAGTACTGTACAACGATGAACGGCGGTATGAATTACGTGGCTGCTGGCTGTTTGGCGGACCATGAAGATGATGGGCCTGATATCGCCCGCACGGCTGATTGACGGATGAGGTGGTAACCGGTTGGTGGCGCGACGATGAACAGGATGTATGGTGAGTAGCGATTTTGACGATGGTTGACGGTCGTAGTGGTGGTATTTTGCGGTCGTTGACGTGAGGATTCGGCGCGTTTCGCGACGTGTCGTGAGGATGGGTGGCGCGGTCAGCGCGGTAACGACGGTCAGTTGGGTGAATGACGGTTCGGATAGTCGTGCCGACAGGATAGTGGAGCCGGGCGCGTGTACGCTGCGCGACGGCGGTGTAGTTGATGGTGCGGTAACGCGCGACGATGAACGGGTTGAAGTCGATCGCTGCACGACGACGGATTGACGGTGCGGTGCGCGATGTTCGCGACGGATGACAGTTCGAGATGATGTGATGACGACGATGACGGTGGTGAAGAACGCGGTGATGCCGCTGCGCGACGATCGACGGTGTGGTGGTGAACGCCGGTATTACCGCGACGATGGTTGGCGGTTGAGGTTGATGGTGCGCGGTACGCGGCGATGGGTTGAGATTGAGCGATGTCATGACGGTCTTGACGGTGTGGTGTGCCGCGACGGGCCGGCAGGATAATGGTGTGATGTACGGTAATACGCGACGACGAATCGGCGGTGGTGAATGAGCAGCGATACCGACGATGATGACGGGTTAACCGGATGTGATGACGAGATTGATGACGGCGGATTATCGATGACCGGTACGCGGTGCTGACGACGTTGAACGGTTCATCGGTGACGATACGCGACCGGTAGCGATGGGTTGGTGAAGCCGCGTTGCGCGACGACGAATGACAGTCGCCAGTTGCGCCGGTAAACGATGAACGGCGGACCCATCGGGTGGTGAAATGCGGTAACGCGCGACGACGTAGTTGATGATGAAACGGACGGGTGGCTGACGACGATTGCCGGTGGTGCGACGTGACGTGGTGGTGGCGCGGTAACGCGACGGCAACCGGGTGGTGCGCGACGTGAACAACGATGGGCGATGATGCGCGATGCGGCGATTGACGGTGGTGGTGCGCGATGCGCGCGGCGATTGGCGGTCATGGTCGGCGATTGCGGCAGTGGGTGATGGCGGTTTGGTGATGCCGACGACGGGTGACGGAACGCGGTGGCACGATGATGACGAACAACAATTGATGGTATGATGGCGGATATGGTCGGTAACGATGTGCGTGACGGATGGTGTGTACGACGATGGCGGTTTGAGGTGATGGTGACAGCGCGGTAGCGCGCGACGATGACCGGGTAACGCGACGATTATGGCTGAACATCGAATTGACGCGGTGGCAACGTTGATGGTCGGTACGCGACGTGACGGATATGAATAGTAGGTGGCGGCGGTTATGGTGACCAGGCTGCGCATTACGGCGATGGATGACGGTTATCGGGTGATGAGTACGGCGGTATTGACAACGATGGCGCGCGACGGTATGGTCGATAACCGCGGTACTGCGGCGGTAACGGATATGGGTATTGGCAATGGGTGGAACAGATGATGCGACGATGATTATGCGCAGTATGGCTGAATCATCAATGATGATGATGACGATGATGACGATGATGATGATGATGATGATCGATGATGAATGGATTCGATTCGGTTCGATGAAAGGGTTCGATTGTCGATTCTTCTTCAGGCTTCGGAATGGCTGTTCCACCCGCGGGCCATTGGCCGTTTGTTCTCACGAGGCCCTGGCCTGTTTGGTCGATTCGATGATCTCGATGGTCTTCTTCCATTCCAAGCCGTTCCATGTCTTCTTCCTTGGTCGGTCTTCCTGTTCGGTCCATGGGTCCATTCGGCTGACATTGGCAGGCTTCCTTGGCTCTGTGCTCCGGCTTGAGATGTGGGCCACGTGAGGCTTGTGTTCTTCCGGTGTGCTGGCGTGTGCCTTCCATTCCTTCCTGTGTTCCTTCCTGTCTGTGGCGTTCCGGGCTTGGCTTGGTCGTGG